GGAAACTCGCAGAGAAGAGACTCAGGGCCTGCTTACTGTCTTTCCTGAAGGGAGCTCGTTTCTCCATTTCCGTTCCTAAAATAAGCATCCTGTGTACCTGGGGTGCGGAGACCACCACCTGGGTCACGCACGTGCCGTGGGAAACTGCCTCCTGCCACCTGTTTAGAGTAGGTTTTTCACAGTCGAATCCAACAGGACTCTAGGTGCAGCCCTGAGTACCACGTGAAGGGCGCCTATCCCCAGAGCCTCCTGTCCTCCTTCCCCTGCGTCACGTGGGCCCCGTGGTGCCACAAGGCAGCTGCCACCCCCAGGCCCCGGAATGCACTCACAACACCCAGTCTTTGTGCAGCCAGAGCTGACATTCAGAAAAGCGCTTTAGAAAATCCCTGAAGAGGCGTATTCTTTGAGAGCCGTAATGAAAGTGCATTTACAAAGGACATTCTCCTTTGTTGGGAGGAAAGAAAGGGGGACGTGTTGTTCCCTTTAAGGGGCAGGCTCCCTAGCCCCCCTGGAATCTGGGGCCTCATGGAGAATGGTGGGCCTTCAGGAAAAAGACTGGACCGTACCTGCCCTGTCCCTTCACCTCTCACCTGGGCCAGCACCAACCCCTGAGCTATGGGCGTAAGAGCCAGTGCCCAGCAACACCAGCTCTGGGCACTCTTGCTTCTCACCTAGGGGAGGCCCAGTTTCACAGAGCAGCTAAGCTGGACACGTGGTCAACTCCCACATAATTCTCACACAAGAACGACAGAACAGAGCGAGCCCTTTCTCCAGCATCTCACTTGAAGGGTTTTAAAGCCTCGGTACTGATGGCCTTCCCGATCTCCTCTATTTGTCTTACATTAAAAGCTCCGCTTATAACCTCCTAGTCTCAGCATTTCATTATTTAGCATCCAGATTGCTCCTAGGCCTCTAACTGTGACAATGCAGGATAACCGCTGTCATTCAGTGCTACTGATGAGTCTTAGAGAACCAGCATCTTTGTCCCTGATTCACAGCATTTCAGTTCTAGTGGCCCCGTTACAGTGAGCTCACTGTTATCTCCACACCTTGATTTCACAGACATGCCTGTAGTCTTACCAGAGCCTCATAGTTAAGGTGACATGAAGGACACAGGTCCCTGCATGGCACCCCCGATGGTGTGTGCCAGCCGCCTGCGAGTGGGGACGGAAGGGCTGTGTAGACGGGGAGTGGACCACACTCCCTCATACCAGCTCGCGGCGGCTTTGTCCAGGGAGCAGGTGACACCCCAAGCTGGAGCCCTCTGAGCGCTCACTGAGGCCGTGTTCTGGCCGGAGAGCCTCTGGAGCAAGTCTGGACATGCTGGTGTGTCCGTTCCTACACCCAAACCAGCACTGTCCGAGATTCTGGACAGCAGTTCCTCTTGAAGTCACTGATCACAGGTGTCTCCAGCTCAGTCACCAGCTGCACCTGTGCCCTTCTGTCTCCTGGCCACAGTCACTCACTGCTCTCTAGATGGGGGACGGTGGGGACCTGGTGGACCTGTCTTGGCAGTGATTCGGCCGCGCCCTCTGTATAAGTGATACCTTTGTATGCTGCATCTGTGTATTTAATGACCATTGCTTCCCTGTGGTTGTATTATGACTTGATTTTTTTTAATTTTGTTATGAACTTCTGCTTTATGTATATTTCTGCATTTTTATGATATTAAACAGTTTAACACACCAATGACGGTGCATGAATTGCAAACGGACTTTTTAAGTGTCTCTTTTGGTGTCCCTACCCAACTAATTGCGCTTTGCCTCTGGCATTCCCATGGCCTGTGACACAACGTACAGGTAAGTCGGAGCAGTGGGCTCCCGTGGCCTCTGTACCCGAAGGCCACAGCGTCTGGCTCCTGTGCTTTGACCCAGGGAGGCCGTCTTCTCTCTCTGGGGCCCGTGGGGTCATCTTCCTTGTCAAGAGTTCCTGTTCCACTGCTCCACTGTCTCTCAATGCGCCCTCCTGCCTGGGCACTAAGTAGGCCCACAGTGGCCATGTTGTGCACCCGGGGACATGTTCCAGGTGACAGGGAGCCTAGAGAACCTGAAGTCAGAGGTGGCTGCCTCTTCTCCAGTGTGGTGCCTCGTGCGTACGGGGAAACCTAGAGGGCTGATAAGTTAGAAACGAAAGCAGAGACACTGTTAATTCTGATGTGGCCTGCCATTCATCTGTGTGACAGTCCCACCATGGCCCTCGCCCTAGCCCTCCCCTCCTCTAATCGTCCCACTCCACGGCCTACATTTCTCCATCACTGCTTCTTCTTTTGGTGAAGTGAGAGCCACTGAGTAACAGGAAGCTCTGACGGTCAGCGGGAGCTCGGCTGGACAGCTGAGGAGGTGAGTCCTCACAGGGACAAGCGTGGCTCCAAGGAGATCGCCAAGAACCGACTTAGTATTTAAGACCTGGAGAAGTCTGTCAGATTCAAGATTTCCTGTTATGTCTACCACCAGAATTTTAAGTGTTCTGAAATATCCTCCTTCATACAAAATAGTAAGAGGGGAGGGAAAAGACAACTCAGAACGTGAAGCCTTCGGCGGCAGCCCCTAAACATGGTCCACCGCACTTTCTCCCAAGGCAGGCTTGCCGGCCTGCTTCAGCCCCGGTGTGCGTCTCGGGCTACGGAATCTCTTGTCCCCCAGTCAGTCAGTCTACTGCAGGTACTGTCTTCTGGTCAGACTGCACCCCACTCCGCACAGGTGCAGAGAGCTGGAAAGAGGCTTGCTGTCCCTCTGTGTCCTGCCAGGAGGTCAGTTTGCTGACAAGGCCAGGGTTACAGGTTGCATTCCTATAAGCTGTCCCTGGGGTGTCCTTTCTCAGAGCTGCACGTAGCCTCCAGCCCAGCCATCTGCCTTCCCTGTGCATGGACAGCCAGGGCCCCCCAGAAGTCTGGGTGTGACGGGAGAGGGGCTCAACACCAGAGCTAGGTGGAAGAGCCCCACAGTGGCAGTCTTCTTCACAGAGAAGGACATGAGCTGACCACCTTGAGAGCAGGGACTAACCTGCACCTCTCCAGTTGAGGGGTCACTCCTTATGGGGTCTCTCGAGTCACAGCAAGACAATAACTGCCACAGGCCTGGTGAGTGGGCATGCTCTAAAATGCACTCAGATCCCTCACTCTAGGCCCCTGCATCGTGGGTTAAAGTCACTGATGAGTTTTGCTGGTGTGGAGACAGTCCCTCCTCACATGCAGGTGGGAGAACCGTCCATGAGACACGGTCACCACAGGTTTGCCTCTGCATGGCGAAGCCCTGGGTCACAGGGTGTCATCCCATGTAACTACTAACCAGCTTACCAGGGATCCACTTCATCTGTCACAGCGCACTGAGTCTCCCGAAGCCTGTCACACTGACTTCATGGCTTGACCACTCCCAGTCAGTCCCTCTCTCTATTTCTCTCTCTTTTTCCATTTTGTTGTAGATAGTCAAAAAATAGACACTTCCTACCTTTAACTTGGTCCTATAATATTATTCTTTCAAGCACGTCACCTGAACTTCATGAAGGGGCAGAGTCTCCTGTGACGGATGGAATGAGGAGAGTGCTGGTGTCCTGGGGGAGCAGGACCAGGGCTGCCCCGCAGGGTTCAGGGTGCAGAGCTGCTCTGCAGACAGTTCCTGGGGCTCTGCAGATGACTTGAGAGGCCACAGGGTGACAGCAGGTACCCTTGGAGCAGGAACAGCCCCTACTTGCAAATCCAATGCAGAAGCTGAGATATTGCTGCACGGGAAGATGAATAAGGCTCCATAACAAAACCGAGTGTGGGATTTGTCCATCAGGGCCTGCAAGAGCCCTGGCCCTGTGCCCCCGGTGGAAAGCGCTTCCCTTCCTGGTGCCCCGAGAAGCCTCGCAGCTGCACCTGTCATAACGAGAGGCCGTTTGGCCACAGAGTTTGGAGTAGGGCCATAAAACAGACTCTGGAAAAAGGGACTTCTCCCTAAATCCTTCCTCTTGCTCCTTTTCCCTGGCCCTGCCCTGCCGTCCTCCCGGTCACCTCTCCTGGATCCACCATCTCTTCCCCCACGTGCCCTCTCTGCTGACCACTCGCCCTTTAGTCCTGCCTTCCCTGCCCTCTCTGCCCCACCTGGGGACCTGCCAGGCCCGTCCTAGAGGAGATTTGCTGGAGGACTGTGGGGCTCTGCGAGCGGTGCACACGCAGGACTCACGCCGTCCACTCTGTGTCCTCGGCAGGTACCCTGGCTAAAGCAGAGCAGGAGCCCTCTGCCCTCTTATGCCCGCAGCCAGCCTGGGCTGTGCAACATGTACAAGGTAAGGCGGTCGCAGTCCCCCGCCCAGGGCCACCCACGCGTGAAGTGCCGTGCGTGCGCGGCCGAGTGGGCGGGGTCCTTGCAGGGGGGCTCTCTCTGTCCCAGGACAGCAGGCTTCAGGGGAGCAAAGCTAGGGCAGCAGGTCCTGAGGGACACAGCAAAGGACAATCCCTGGGGGGGGGGAGTAGAGACCCTCCTCTGCCTTCGAGTCCTTGCTAGGGTCCCTCAATGGCTCAGGTGACAAGGGCATGACTGTCAGCTCAGTGTCACAGAAAAGTCATAGGAACAAGCTACAGGACCAGGGTATGGCCACCAGTGCCAACACAGGCCAGAGGGCAGTAGAGACTCTGGCCTTGGACACTGGCCTGGACAATGGCCAGGGGCATGCCTGTGCCCAGACCTGCTTTGGAAACCAGTGCCCCACAGAGAGTTGGCAGTCGCTGGACATCAGCCGAATTCACTCTCAAGTGACATGTGCCCTTAGAAAGCCCTGTCCCCCAGGGCTCGGCCCTGACCAAGCGCAACCAAGCCTACCTGGGATGGAGGGACCCCTGAGATGGGCCCTGAGTGATGTCCAGGCGGGCGGGGAAGGGAGGGGTCCTGCAGCCTGCACTTGAGTCAGCCAGGCCTGCCGCTCACGCACGTCCAGGGTCACCACATGGACGCTGCCATGCTCGGCTGTCAGGTAAAGTCACTGCCCGGGCCTGGGCACTGGGCAGACGTGGGAGGCTGACAGTGTGCGCCCGAGTGCCCAAACTAGAGCATCCTCCTCCTGCTTCTCGGGGCCAAGCGCAGGACTCGGGGCCGCGGGGGAGCCGCGGGGGAGCCGCGGGGCTCAGGCACCCCCTTCTGCTGGTATTGAGGTGAGCACAGGGAAGGAGAGGTGCCTTGTTTCTCAGTGAGCTGGGCCCCGGCCCAAGGAGCACCCAGCCTGGCTGGGGGGCCTGGGGGCCCTAGGACAGAAGCCTTCGTGTCGAGACGGGGAAGGGCTGGGCCCGGACAGAGTGTGCAGGTTCCTGTCCACGGAAGCTTATCTCAGTGGACAGGCAGGTCTGTGAGGAACAAAGGGTCTGCTTGCTGCTGGCCTCCAGGGTGGCCAATCCAGGACCAAGGCCTACAGGTGCAGAGCAAGGCTCCCAGTCCATGGCGCCAGGGCCTCGTGGGAACAGAGAGCCTCTGACGCCCCCCTGATGCCCTGTGAGCTCGTGGGCACGCCTCCCTGGAAGGCATCCTTGTCGGGCCTCGGGAAGGGGAAACACTCCCCGCAGGCTCCCAGAGGTGAGGCAGGGAGGTGTCCACGGCCGGCCCCTCCTTGACTGATGCCCGGCTGTGTAGCTGCCCCTGGTTCAGCAAGCGCCACTTCCCAGTGGTTTCTGGGGTGCTCAGTCCCTCCAGGGCCGGCCGGCTCCTGTTGTCCCTGCTGGCGAGAAAAGCTGTTGCCACGAGTGTGTGTGTGGCATATCCAAGGGGCCAGGGTGGGCACAGCTCCAGGGCTGGCGGCCGAGCGGCCGCAAAGGCAGCGGCTCAGCCTGACCACCCCTCCCCCCTGCACTTGAGGCACGTGGCCTGAGAAAGCAGGCCCCGTGCACAGATGGAGAAGCCGGGGATCCCAAGACACCGCGGTGCAGAACACGGCAAGGACTCTGAACAGTGCTTCACTCTTCTCCCTTATAACGGCATCAAGAAGAAGGGAAGCAGCCCGTGCTCTCACACCGTCCCAGATGTTCACCTGCGAGTTTTAAGCCTGGTCAGAGCCCATCACTGCTCTCCACCGAGCCCCCTGTGGCTGCCGAGAGCTGGCCTGGGGGGACAAGCGTCGGGGCTCCTGTACAGGGCTCTGTCTGTTGTTTGCCACCTGCCAATGCCCCATTCTGGTCAGTCAGGTTGGGTTCGACTCTCCTGAGCATACCCTAGAATCGTCTTAGGACACACAAAGAAACATTGGGCCAGGCGCGGAGGTGGCACACTCCTATAGTCCCAGTCACTGAGGAGGCTGAGGGAGGAGGATCAGAATTTCCAGGCCAGCCTGGGCACCTTACCAAGACCTTGGGTCACATAAAGTTAGAAGGCTGCGGGTGTAGCTCCGCGGTAGAGCACCTGCCCAGCGTGCGCCAGACCCGGGGCTGGTCCCAGTCCTGGGGGACAGCGTGTTAGAAGGCCGTGTGGTGTTCACGTGTCTGCTACGTGAAGGAAGCAGGGCGGCCAAGCTGAACCCAGGGCCAGGCGAGGCGGGGGGCACCAGCAGGACTCTCCTGGTGGACAGAGGACCCTCCTGGCACCTGTGCCAGAGACACCCAGTCCTCTGCAGCGCACCAAGTTCCAGAGACGCCCAACGGAGCCGTCTCAGAGGAAGCACGCAGAGGCACAGGAGGCTGGGCACCCCGGTCCCGGTCTGCCAAGCTGACGCAGGGGGCAAAGAAGCAGCCTGGCTCTTCTCCCTGAGGGAGGCTTGAGGTTTGAAGGTCTTCTGCAGCACTGAGGGGTTCCTTCTTATTTCAAGAAAGTGTTGGAATGCTAGATCTGATTTAACGGCATCGACTACAGGGAAAGGAGCGCACTCAACGATTTCAAGCTACTTGACGTCAACAGGGTTCTCCCGCAGAGGATGTGGGCCTGTGGAGGACGTCGAGCCGCTGGGGGAGGCACGGGCTGGGCAGTGACTCACAGTCACTGAGAGGAACTGTGAGCACCCTCCCTCGCCAACCAGAGAATCCGAGGTCCTGAGGAGCCATGCCAGCGGATGGCCAGCAACCCACTTCCACAGGTAGATAGACAGACAGACAGGCAGGCAGACAGGCAGATCCATCTGTCAATCTGTCTCTGCAAAAGTCCGGGCGAATAAGAAAGACCCGCGCATTGTGAAGTCAGAGACGTCGCGGCAAGGAGAGGCGGGTGCCAGGCTGTGGGCAGCTCCACCGAGCGCAGGCTCCCTGCAGGAGTCTTTGACTTCAGGACCCCAGCGTCTTCCCGAGGACTGGGCTGTCTAATTCTGGGCAGCATTAAGACCCGCCCCAGGACCTGCCCCCCAACAATCCTAGCAGGAAGAGGGACAAAGCGTCAGAAACGCCGCGCTTCCGCAGCCTGAGGGCAGGCAGCAGGTGTCTAGCAGCCTTGCTGCAGAAGAGGCCCGGGCTCCTCGGCCAGCAGAAGAGGAGACACTGCCTTTCCCACCCCAGATCTGTGCTCTGCTTCCAGGGCGTGACCACCACCCAAGGTGCACGCAAAGCTGCTCAGCAAAATGACGCTTGGGAGCCAGCGGCCATCTAGCTGCTGATCCACATCAGAGAGGAGACGGCAGAGCTCGGGGAATCACAGCCCGTCATGGTCCCTGCACCAACCCCACAGAGCTCCCCGTTCCCAGGGGCCCCCTGTGCTGGTCCTCTACCGGAGGAGCCGCTGGCCAGGACAGGAGAGCTGCAAACAGACATCAAAGCCCGTCCCTCTGAGGTCAGAGGACGTGGACTTGGCAATGTGTGTGACTGCAGGAGCCCGGGGTGCAGATGTGGACTTACATCCATGGCCTAGGCACGAGATCCACCACAGCACCGTCGCCAGGCCACCGGAAACTGCACCTTAAGAAAAGGCTGGGCGGACTCCAGCGATCAGGAAGCTCCTGGTTGGTAGTACACGGCTGGCTGTCGACCAAAGCCCACAGCGTGACACGACTGACCCAAGACCGGCTCAGAAACAGGCACGTCCTTCACCCTGAGAAAATCTGCATGTGTGAATGTGTGCTCAGACAGCAGAGTCCTCCCCACATCGCAGGGTCAGAACGTCTTGGGAAAAATAAGTCCAGTGCTCTCTCCTGAGATGCACTGGACGCTGTGACCAGTGGATGATAGCTTCTGGAAACGTGCACAGTCAAAACCAGCCCATGAACAAGGAGCCTGGGAGTTCTCGGGACGGCCGGGCGTCACGGCTGCTGGGAACGTGGGGAGGAAGGAAGGCGGAAAGACAGTCTCAGACTCCATGTTGGGCTGGGTCTCTGGCCCCAATCCGGAACCTGCGACACACCTGCTTGCTGGAGGCTGGCCTCTCAGCTGCTTGCTCATGTGAGCCGTGGAGTGGACAGTGGCCTGGCCGTGATCTTCCAGTGGCTGGGGCAGGCAGGCCACTGCCCTGCCGGCTGGCCCCTACCTAGCAAGAAGGCCTTTAGAGGGTCGTTTCTGGAAGTCTTCAAGGACAGGAAGTATCCCATAAGTCATGAACAGTGAGGGCACAAGAAAAGCGGACCCCCACACCCCCGGCAGAAGGACTGGTTCATGGCTCTCAAAGATGAAGACCGTTGCACAGGAGCGTATTTGGTTTTATCTTCACCGTCACAAAAAAATAATGCTATTGATAGCGATCCTCACCGCCGGCGAACCTACCACAGCTGCTCAGGAAGACTACGGCGCTGTCACCCTCTGTGGTCCCGAACAGCTGTGCAGATGAGCGGCTGAGCACCACGGCCCAGCTTCTCCGAAGCGCAGAGAATCCCAGGTTTCTCCAGAGACAAGAAGGAAAGCACAAATTCACCAACTCCTTCACTCTCACGACAGTGAGGAAGGCACCACAGCATGGAGGTGTCCCCACGTCCCCTCTAGATCGGGCATCGTGCTGAGATGTCCAGTCGCAAGTTAAAGGAGCAAGTACCCGGCGACATGCTGGCTGGCGGGCGGGTTTCCCACCACGCAGACAACACGAAACGATCCGCACAGTGCGACCTGCTAGTGTCGAGGCTCAACTTTTCCTTTGAAGCGGGAAATGACACCTTCCTTGTTTTAATCGATTAAAATGACGAGACAATTGAAAAATCTCGTCTCATTCACCAGGCCTGTTTCTGTGGGTCAAATGCTCAGTGTGTAGCAAACTAGTTAGGGCTGGTTTTCTAGCGTTGAGAGTCCTGTGGCACCAGAGTCCTCAGGCGCCCGAGACAGTGACCAGCACATCTGATGGACTCCAGAGGTAGACGTCAACCTCTTTTTCTCAAATGTGAGCACGTTGTTATTTCTAGTTCTT